GCTCTGCTCGGGTCCCAACTGGAGCAGAGATCTGCATGTCTTTGCTTGATGTGCTTCAGGATAAACTGGGAGGGAGAAAACTCCAGCAGGCTTGGCTGTGAAGCTCCTTTGAAATGCAATGTCTGGCCCCATCCCTCCTCCTCCCCTACACTGTGGCCTGAAAGGTGAAAGTTAAGAGTGCAGAGGAGCTGGGCAGGGTGGCCCACATCTGTGGGCTGAGGGAGAAAGATCACTGCCAGTTCGAGGCTACCCTGGGCTACATAGTGAGATCCTGCCCGAGAAGGGTCGGCTTGGCAGGAAGCAAGAGCCTCCTGACCTTGATCAGCTCTGTCCACTTTGTGCACCTCGAACCCTCCCAGCCCAGAGCTTCAGTCCTCTGCCCAGGATACTTCTGCTGCTCCTGCTGAAGATGAAACCGGTCCCCCTCGCCATCTGGAGGCTCATGGCTCAGTGTGGGAACTTCAGCCAGCCTGGGGACCCCTGCCACGTGCACTTCAAAACTGACTTTCCCCTTAGGAGCACGGAAGCCAGGGGGTGGTTTCAGTTGTATTAGTATCCTAAAGCCCAGGGCAGGGCGTGAAGCCCAACACGGATTTGCACAGTTGGTGGATAAATTCCCAAGAGCCCAAGGCTCCCAGCTATCATCTCAAGTCCAGCTTCCCTGGGCAGCTTCAGAATCAAGATGCAGGCCTCTGACCTGCTGCGGGCGATCCTGGGGGAAGACACGTCAAGGCCGTGACTCCTCTTTCCACGGCTCAGTCCCAGTGTTTCCAGAAAGGAGTCCCAGATGCAAAACCCAACCCCAGGGAACATGTGAGGGCAATGCGCGGAAAACAGCCCCACCGCACTGCTGACAGGAGCCTGGCTTCTGAGCCTGTAGCATCCACGCTGTGGGGCTCTGCCCAGGAAAGCCACTGCAACTTCTACTACAAATGGAGAGGCGGTGGAGTAGGGGACTGGCGCCAGGTGGCCTAAGTCTGAATCCTGCTCCACCACTTACCTGCAGTTTTTCAGACTCCCAGGCTGCCAAGGTTCTCTCTGGAGAGTCGAGTAAATGCAGTATGTGCTTTGTGGAGTTGTTGTAAGGGTTAACTGAGCTACTTTATATTCCATAAAGGTGTTTCTGGACAGTGGCCAGCACCTGATAAGTGAGTTATTATTATTATAATGCTCATCTTTTTTAAAATGATAAAGGACTGTGCTCTATGGCTCCCCAGGGGGAGTTTGGCAGGTCCCTGGTCTTTTCTGGACCTTTTTTGTTTTTGAATCTGACAGGAAATTCCTTTTTTCAGTGGTGCCAGCCACACCATGCCCCAGCGGATGGCTTTCCATGACAAAGGCTAGGCAGGCGCCAAGTCCTCGAGCCCCAAGATCGCCTGCCCCAGGAAGCACCAGGGGTTTTTTTTTCATTAACAACCTAAGTGAGGAGCATATGGGCGCCTCAAGGCAACCTCTGTGGCCTGTGCTTGGCCCGGTTTGGCCTGGGAGTGACTTGTAAGCACCCTTGGGGGCAGAGAGGGGAGCACTGCAACGGACAGTTTCCAGAGCTCCCGAGCTGCCCAGCTGCCTTTTTCCAGTAAATTCAAGAATGGGATGGAGGATTTAAAAGTGTCAAGAAGGAAATCTGAAGCCTGCTTATTAGTTCTTCAAATGCTCCTCTGACCCTGTTTTATTCTGAACAGTACACCAAGACCCAGAGGGCGGGAAGGCAGTGGCTTCCTGGAGTCACACATGGGCCCAGCTGGCCTGGACCTGGCCTGCAATTCCAGCATCGGCCCATTCTTCCCACCACAGGGAAACCCCAGGGAAGGGCCCAGCTCCATGCCTGTCCTCTGCACTGTCCCACACTCCTACCTACAGTAGTTCTGATCTAGCAAGTTCCCAACTTGCTTCCCAGGCGGTGTGGGGGGGGGGGATGATGTCACATATGCAGGAATCAGCGCCTACAGGGTGCCGCTGCAGTTTTGACTTCTAAGCATCCGTTGTAGCACCTTCCCTTGCTTCTTTAAGCCCATGCCCAGCAGGAGGCAATAGCCTGGTGGACTTGACAATGCTGGGATTCTTCAGTGCTGGGGTTTGAGCCACCCCGCTGATCTCTGCCATTGTAAGGAGACTCTTCCATTCACCTGCCCTCATCAGTGACATTCATCTGGCACGTAATGTCCACTGACTACATTTTTTTGGTACTGCAGACAGAACTCAGGTCCTTACACTTGTGAAGCAGGCGGCGGAACCACTAAGCTAAATCTCCGGCCCTTCACTGACTACATTTTAATCATACCGGTACTTAAATCTTTCCAAGAGCTGGGGATGTAGTTCAGTGGTGCCACATCTTCCTGGCAAAGGTAAGGTCCAGAGTTCCATCCTCAGCACCAAAAAGAAAGAGGGAGAGGGGGTGAGAAAGAGGGAGAGAGGGAAAGAAGGCGGGGGGCTGAAGGGGAAGACTAAGGAGAAAGAAAAATCACTCACTGGTCTTTCGTATCCCAGGACCAAAAATTTTTCCAAGAAACTTTCAGGCCTGAGCTCTCCCCTTGCCCCATAAAAAATGTTTTAGTCAAAATGATTCCCAGACCCAAGTGTCAAGGAAGAAAAAAAAAAAGACCCTAAAAACTCTAAGAACCAAAAAATACTGGGTCAGGGATTTAGCTCAGTGGCACCACACCTACCTCACAAGTGTAAGGTCCTGAGTTTAATTTCTGGTAAGGAAAAAAAAAAAGCACTGAAATACTCAAAGATTTTGCCTCCCAACACAATGGGCTGACCAGACCTCAGTCCTGAGCAAAGCCTCTGCTTGCAGCTGACTTCCATAGGAGAAAAGCAACAGCACAGGAGAGAAATTGGCCTGTTCCACAGGATCAGGCTGTCCCAGCCAGGGCCCATTTACTGGCCCAGGACCCAGGATTCTGGAGGGGTATTGTTGCCTCACTGGCAGATTGTGGGCTGACCACCCCCCAGCCCACCTCCCAGGTCCCAGGCTGTCTGTGCTCCAGCAGCTCATGGGCAGGGGGCAGGAGCGCTGAGCCTCAATGACACACAGGGCAGCCTGGGCCATGAGTCAACCCAGCCTGATCAACAGGGCTACCGCTGAAAAACCCAGTCAATGTTGGGTTTTGGCTTCTTTCTACTCGGGGCCAAGTTCAAGAGTCCAGTGATTTCCTTGGGAATGAGGAGCTGCCTGTGTGCCCTTCCCCCAAGATCACACCCAAAGCCAAAGGAAGGAACCACTACTGTTAGAATACATACCCCAAAGGGTAACTTTTATTCCAGCTCTTTCAGAAGCTAAGCTGCTCAAAGTCCACACCACATGACTCTTCTCTGCTTGCCCTATACTTTCAAGGGAAAAATGTTTTCTTTGCTGCTTCTGTTCACATTATAAATTAATTCACAAATATAGACTTGAAAGAAACAATATAAAAGTCTATGATTTTTCACATACAAAAATATCCATAAAAGCTGGGCGTGGTGGTGCATGCCTGTAATCCCAGCCCTCAGGAGGCTGAGGCAGGAGGATCGCTGTGAGTTCGACCAGCTCAGTCTCAACTATATAGTGAGACTGTCTCAACCCCCCCCCAAAAAAAAATCCATAAAATCGGGTTTTTGGGATACAGTATGGAGTAGGTAGTATCTTTGGTTCTTTGTGCATAATAGCTAAAAAGCAGTGGCATTTCTTTCTTTTTTAAAAAAAAGGCAATGGTGATGTAGTCTGTACCTTACAAGCCATGGGAAAAATATGTACCCCTCAAAATTTCCCATGTGTATTTCAAAATAAACTTTAACTCTGAGTCTTAAAAAGAAAATATAGGGATAGACAAATTTCTTTATAATATGTATGACAGTTTCTAAAATCATAAAACACCCAGCTATCCTCACATCAAAAGCTCAAAAACATGATACAAAGAAGGCAACTCATAGGACATTATCTTCATCTTAATCCAAAGCTGTTCCTGTAAACCCAACTATTTGCATTTTTAATTAATACTTCTTGCAAACATCATCATTCAACAAATAATGGCTAAGTGATTACCACATAATATCCCAGGGTCTCTGCCAGCACTGGGATGAGGACCACAAAAGTCATTCAAAGGAAGACACTGCTGAGAAGTAAAAGAGAATCCAAAATAAATAAAATTATACGTCTATTATTAAAAATATGACCACAAATGGTTTCTCATATTAAAAGCTACAAAAATCCCATTTAAAAACTGTTTAATAATAAAAATTTAATAATACTTTGTTAGGAAATGAAATAGAGGACATAGCTTAAGAGGGTTAGGATGCTGCTATCACATGTTAAGGCGATGGTCCTCTCAGACCTTGGGGGATCAGTAGCAGGAATAAGACAGAGGTGGTATTGCTTTTGCTGCTCAGGAAAACCATTTCAAATGACTTATTTCAGCCAGGTATGATGGCACTCACCTGCAATCCCAGCGCTCAGGAGGCTGAGGCAAGGCAAAAGGACTGATGCCAAATAGGAGGCCAGATGGCTACACAGAGTTCAAGGTTAGCCTAGGCTACAAAGCTACTTTGTCTCTTATGGTTTAGATCTAAAATGTCCCCCAAAGTTGTGGGTTTTTTTTTGGAGACAGGGTTTCACTCTGTAGTGCAGACTGGCTTGTAGCCTAGGCTGGCCTTGAGCTCATGGTGATACTCCTGCCTCAGCCCCAAGTACTGGTATTACAGGCGTGCAACACCATGCCCAGGCTAGAAGGAGATATATATATTTGGCTGGGGATCGAACTCAGGCCCTTGCACTTACAAGGCAGGCGGCACAACCACTGAGACAAATCCCCGGCCCAGAAGGGTATATTTCTGTTCCTTGCACTTCTCTGCTCCCTAACCACCACAGATAGTGTGAGCAGCCTTTTCCACCATGCCCTCTTACCATGTCATTCCTGTAATGGAGCCGCCAACCATGGACCGAAACAAAGCTCTCCTTTAAGTTGCAGGTATCAGGTATTTTGTCCCAGCAACAAACGAATACATTGTCTCAAAGTGGGGGGGGGTATTTTTTAACTAGAATCTTTGGTTAGGTAAGATCCAGCTCTATTCCTACCCGCTTCTGTTGTTACAGAAATCGGCCCACGAGGCTGGCTGATTTTAGGAGCTAGAACACTAAGTTATAAGCACTAGCTCTACCCGGCTCTACAATATCCTGTGTGACTAGGGGCAAGTCAGCTAACATCTCAGAGTCCTCCTTCCCTCAAAACAGAAACGAGAGCTGGTCAGACCTATCTCCTCTGGTTGCTATGAGGATGGTGGGTTAAGATGTGTGTCCAGGCGTCTACACCAGTACTTGGAACACAGTGCTACTCGTACTTTTATTGCTACTGGTGACCACCAGATACCAGACAGGGGACACCTGTGAGCTGCACATAAGTCCAACGATCTGTGGCATTTTCTACAAAAATCCAGATTATCTGGCTTTTCTAAAATATCATCGCCCTGCTATGTAGAAGGCCACCAGCTGCTCACAGCAGGCTTCCGCCCAGCTCTCTACTGCTTCAGGTGCCAGGTGCTGTGGTTTTCATGTTTTGGAGCTGCTGGGACACATTTGGGCCTGCCACCCTGGGACACAGAGACAAACAGAACAGAGATGGGCCTGGCCTGCACAGGGCTCACAGGCTGCCTGACTCAGAATAGATCCAGAGGCTGGGATCCAGACAGCCAGGATAGCTCCTTGGAGAGTTAAGAGTCCTCTGCTTGCCTGGACCACACAGAAGCTTGATTCAACTGCAGGATCTGTCTGAAAGGGGCACGTTACACCTCCGAGCCCTCTCGGGGGTAGACGAGGCTGTTGACCATGCTGAAGTTATAAAAGGGGCTGCCAAAGGTGCTGCTCTGGGCTGCACTGCTGCTGGCAGGGAAAGGGCTGTAATAGGAAGGTCGCTGGCTGCTGCGGGTGCTGCTACTCAGCTGCAAGGTGTCGGAGGAGGCCTCAGGGATGGAGGTGGAGGGGAACGCGCTGCTGGAGGGCAGCTGGGCACCCTGGATGCCCAGGTGGCGGCTGCCGGGGAGGACTCGCTGGGTGCTTCCACTGCCGCTGCCACTGCTGCTGCTACTTAGGGTGCTGAGGCTGCTGAAGAAGGTGCTGAGACAGGGCGTGGAGCTGAGCAGGGAAGAGCCCGGAGAGGACGCAGTACTCTTGGTACCTTCAGGGGGCTCTGGGGACTGTGGGAGCTTCAGGGGCAGGGAGGAAGGGCTGTTTCGTTCTGGCTTCCAGCCTGCACCAGCCCCCAGTCCTTCTTCTGATTTTGATGTCCCCATGGCCACCGTGGAGTTACTGCTGGCTTCAGAGCGGCGCTTTCGCTTCCGACGGAAGTTCCCATTGTCGAACATTTTCTCACAGTTTGGATCCAAAGTCCAATAATTACCTTTCCCTGAGGAAGAAAGATGAGTTAGATAGAGGAAGACTTATTTTATTAAACAACCCCCCAGGGGACCCTTTAGGCCCCAATGGACCTCTGAAACCATGGATAGTGTGATATCCTATACATTCTGTATTTTTTCTATACATATCTGTGATACAGTTTAATCTATAAATTAGGTATAGAGCAAGATTCACAATAACTAAATAGAACAATTATAAAAATATACTGTAATAAAAGCTATGTGAATGTCGTCTCTGCTTGTTTCTAGAAGTTTCCACTTAATATTTTTGGGCTGCAAATGATTTTAGAGAAGTGAAAGCCAGAGAGTTAAAACTGAGGGAAAGATATCAATAAATTTAATGGGAAAAAACAAAAACTAAGGGAAAGAGAAGACCATTCACTGTATTCTGCTTTCAGTTGGAGCAGACAGCAGACTCATTAAATGGTGACAAAATTCTCAGTCTGTGCTAGTGTTTTAGCCACTTTCTGGAGGCGACATTCCTTGCTTCAAAGAGAAATCTGGAAGGAAGTGTCTACTGTATCAACACTAAGACCAATCCTATTCCCGAGGCTCTCACAGTGAAATCACCCAACAAGGTCTCTTATTTTAGATCCAAATTTGGGGGCTTAAATGCTGTCTCAATATAGTGGCTAACACACAAGCTGTGAAAACAGGGTCTTTATATTATTCCCATTAACAAACATGTACTGCTCATGCTCCTGAAAAACATATCCCACTGGGAAAGGGCAACCATCTGTAAAACCAGTCAACTACTACAAGCACATATTGGTTGGAGTACTAGGAAATTCTAGAAGCAACATTCATACCTCATCTTGGGCTGGACATGCCACTGCAAATACTCAAAGGCTTTCTGCCCACGGAGCAAATATTGGGCACTCATTTTCTTCATGTAATGCTCGCCTTCTGCCTCAAAAATGTCCCTCACTATCACAACTGAAGTAGAAAAGATTGTCATCAAATTCTATGACTCACTTTTTTTTTTTTTTCCCAGTACTGGGGACTGAACCCAGGCTTCTTTGTACTAAGTCACATCCCTAGCCCTTTTTATTTCTTATTTTGACATAGGGTCTTGCAAATTGCCCAGGCTGGGCCAGAACTTTTTTTTTGATCCTCCTGCTTCAGCCTCCCAGAGTAATGACACTATAGGTATGTACCACCACACCCAGATCAGTAATTATTTTCACTGCTGACAAAAAGAGTCTTATGTTTGAAAGTATTATTAAGCATTTACCTTACAGTGAGTCCCTTACCTGGATAACCTCCATTACTCTTCACAGATCTACAGATATGGATATGTTACTAGCCCCACTTTTGAGATGGGGAAATGGAAGGGCAGACTGGTTAGTACAGTGTTATAGTCTAAGTGTCACACAATCATTTACAAAGTAAAGCCAGCATTTAGCCTGGCTCCAGATTCAGCTTTCTTTCCAGGTACGGGAGACTGAGCCCAGGGCCTTCATACAGAGTGAGCTAAATGCCCAGCCTTTTGTACCACTGAGACAGTCTTGATAAATTGCTCCAGGGCTACCTGAAACTTATGATCCTCCTGCTCTTTGAACAGCTGAGATTACAGCAATCAGTAGTTTTTAGTTTTTTTGTTTTTGGTACTGGTGATCGAACTCAGGACCTTGTGCTTAGGAGGCAGGTGACGGCACCACTGAGCTAAATCCCAGGTGCTCAGTGGTTCTTGTTTTGGTTTTGGTTTTTAACAGGGTCTTGCTATGTAGTTCAGGCTGGCCTTGAACTCACTATGTAGCCTGGGGTGGCCTCAAACTCACAGCAATCCTGGCTCATCCTCCCGGGTGCTAAGATTACAGGCATGTACTACTACCATGCCAAGCAGAGTTGGTGTTTTGCTTTGCTACCAGGGATTGAACTTGGGACCTTGTGCTTTCAAGGCAGGTGGCACAAACACTGAGCTAAATCCCGAGCCCAGCCTTCTTTTTGCGGGGGCGGGGGAGGTAAATGGGGATTGAACTCGGATCCTTATGCTTACAAGACAGGTGGTGCTGAAACCACTGAGCTGAAAATCCCTGGCCCAGAGTTGTTGTTCTTGACCACCCTGTGAAGATGCCTCCATGAGCTGGCAGGCACTCCCATAACTCCAATGAAGCATTTTCTACAGATAGCTGCGCGGGGGCGGGGGGGAGAATGAAACTACTATTAGGAGTAATATCTGAATATGTAGTATATCAGGCCATCTTGGTACCAACTGTGCTATGGCTTTTGTCTAGATGTCCCCCCAAAGTCTCATGCAGTCATTCACAGGTAGAGCTTTTTTCAGAGGTGGCTGGATATAGAGTGTATGACACTGGAATTGATTCGTGTTGCAATGCTAGGAATAAGGGCACCAGAATTAAGGTGTGAGTGCTACCTGCCCTAAGCAGCCTGGATAAGATGCAAGGGACCGAAAGAGCTGTGGATGTCACTTGTTGTCTTGCTGTCTTTTTCCTGCCATGAACTGTTTCTCCTCTGTGATGCCCATCTGCCATACCAACCTACCTTGGTGCCTCCCAACTAGGGACTGAAACCCCTAAAAACAGTGAGCTAAATAAACTTTTCCTCCCTTAACTTGTGGATGCTGGATATTTTGTCTCAGCAACAAGAAAAGTAACTAAGTTTTTTTTTTTTTTTTCCTTGCTACATCTCTGGCCCCCAATTTCTTCCCCTTTGGTTTTTGATCCCACCAGTAGCTTTGAACTTTTAGTGTGACATTTATAGGAATTCACATGACAACTGACATAATAATCCTGGGTCATTCAAAAGCCAGATCAAGGTATCTTCTTCTACAACTGCATGCCCTGTCCCACACAATGATCACTAGCTACAAGTGGCTAGTGGTACTTGAAATGTGGCTAGTTCAAATCAAGATGTGGCATGAAACACAAGATTTTAAAGACAACCCCAAGAAAATAACATAAGAACCCCACCAGTAATTCTTATATGTTGAAACATTTTGGTTAATTAAAAATAATACAACCAACATCTCTCTCTTTTAAATGTGGCTACCAGAAAACCTACAATCACATGTGCCTTACACTCTACAGTAATTCCATTAGAAATCGCTGCTCTAGACTGACTTTCGGGGCTGGGTGGCAGAGCTTTGATTAACATGCAAAAGTTCCTGTGTTCAATCCCCAACACTACACACACACACAATGACTTCAGGGATCAGCTCATTCTGAGGGCCACCGAAGTGTAGGATTAAAATGTTTTTAATTCTTTTTTCTATTCCAACTTCTTCCCTCCCATGCTTTTGTCCTGGGTTCCTTAAGAAAACCTCCAGCAGGATTCTTTCACTCCACCTCCACCTCTCACCAGGCCAGGTAAGAGACACTCACAGCCCTCCTTGCTCCAGAAGTTACCGGATTTAAGAACTGAGATGCGTTCTGTACATGTACCAACGCCCCACGAGGAACGCGATCATTATATAATACAAGCATGCACTAATAATAATTTTTTAAAAACCGAACAAGAAGAAAGCATATTTGGAGCGCTCATTTAAACATTTCAAAGTAGTTAAAATGTCAACACCACAACTTGTAGGACCCACCGAGCTTCTCCCACCGCCCTGCGGAGGTCAAGAAGCCTGCGGCGCTAGGGTCACAGGGAGCAGCTCCTGTGTGATGAAGGAAAAAGTGCCAGGTACGCAGCCCGCGGGGACGCTTTGTTGAACCCTGGATCCTCGGCTCCTCATCCCCTTCAGAACCATCCTCACCGGAGAGCTCGCCAGTTCGTGACCGTCTTCCCTGTCTACCCTCTCCTTGGCGTAACTAGCCTGTCCCTTCAAAGGGCCGGAGAACACGACTCAAAACGCGACAAACTTTTCCCTTTCGCCCTGAACTGGCTGGCTTCGGTTTGTGGATGCAGGGGAGGCACTCCCGCCTCGCCAGGTCCTCCCTCTGCGCACCTCTGCCACTTTTCTTTGTCCTCTGGTCCCCCTCACTCTCGACCGACGAGGTTGGGGTGCTCGTTGTTCGCCTGCGCCCCCCGCAGGGTGCAGAAGACCCTGCGATCTCCCCGCTGGGAGCGCACAGACCCCGCCTGCGCCCCGCCAGGTGGCACCCGCCAGGCCGCCCTCACCTGGATCGTCCTCGTCGCGGGGCACTTTCTTGAAGCAGTCGTTGAGCGACAGGTTGTGACGGATGGAGTTCTGCCAGCCGGCCTTGCTGCGCTGGTAGAAGGGGAAGCTATCGGCCACGTACTGGTAGATGTGGCTGAGTGTGAGCTTGCGCTCGGGCGCGCTCTGGATGGCCATGGCGATGAGCGCCGAGTACGAGTAGGGCGGCCGCACCATCTTCATCAGGTCCTCGCGGCTGGCCATGGACAGCCAGCCCAGCTCCCCGGGAGCC